CGCCACCGCCACTGCTCCCGCCGCAGTCGCCGCGGCCTAGCGTCCGTCGCGTACCTAGCTCGTAAGTGTTCTAGTATTATTCCTTGTTCGTATGAATCTATGTATAAATATTTGAACGTCTCTCATTCTCGTGTAATTTATGAATCGAAGGAAGGCTGCCCGGTCGGTCCGCCGAGCCCGCGCGCTCCGCAATTAGCTCGTTGTAGATGTACCGTACCGCACTGTACCGTACTGTAGCTGGGCTAGGGGACCTGAATCTTCCGCAGCGACGTAGGAATGCCGCAGGCAGTTCTGGACAATCGGCACTATAGTCGTGATTATATTATTGCTATTATTTTACTGTTCAAGTCGAGCTCTCGTTTAAGTTTAAACACCGGCACTGAAATCGTACATAGTTTTTATCGAATATCGTGTATCGCGCCGGGTTGTATAGTTTGTCGTTTATAATTTGTGAAAATGATATTTTTGTATATTTTATGTAACTGATTAAGTTATTTAGTTGACGCCCCGAGGAGATCGGTCGCGTCCCGCGCCGGTATAGTGATGATTGTAGAGTGCTGCTACCGGCGCCAGTCGCCGTCAGTCGCACGTCAGTTGCACGTCAGTCGCCGTCAGTCGCACGTCTGTCGCACGTCAGTCGCACGTCACAAGCGTAGCTGCTCCTCATTCCCCTTTGTAATTATTTTATAGGAAGCGTAGTTTCCTAAGACACCTCAGATTTTTTACGTCTAGATGTAATTGAAAATAAAATTATTGTATATGGCTGTACAAAAATGTTAACAAAATGATTTGTAAAACCTGTATGTGATGGAATAATAAGGCCGGGCGTCTGAGCAGGGAGGTGTGACTGATCGTTGCTCGGGCCGCCCCGTCTTGTAGGTTGTACTAGATAACATTTATATGATGATCCATCTATTTAGACATTAATTAATAAAGCATTTCTGTAATAATATTACAAACCCGTCTTTTATTTACACAAACCCCAAAAACTCATACTAAGCTAACAAAAGCTAATCCGATACTTGGTGATTATCCTACAAGCCCTATACGATACGCTTTAGGCTACATATTTTTACTCTGTTAAAGTTGGGGAGTTTTGGAAAAAAACCGTGCGGACAGGGCACAGACTACACACATCAAGGAAAAAAAAGGTTGCCATGTTAACTGTTATTGTTATCCAATATCAAAATCCTTCGTTGTTATTTGTGCAGTTGAATTTTGCAATTAACAAATTTCACAAATGTAAACAGTAAAATACACGCTGATGAAGCTGCACGGCAACAGCTCGTTAATTTTAAACCACGCTTTAACTGTCGTGAAAATTTCGGTGGAGGCACCATAATTTAACCAGTTTCTGGTCTGGTCGGTGCCTATACCGAGAGTTTTTCACATGAGTTAAGCCGTTTTTTAATATGAAATTTATTACAAACCGGCATTCATAGATACTTTTCATTGTGAAATGGATATATAAAAAACAAGCACGTCATTTTAATAATTTTCTATGGAACACGAACCCATACATTACACCACCTCGAATACAGAACGATCGTATTTTTAAGGTTATGAATGCTAATAACTGCCCGTATTCAAAGTTGTTTTAAAGAGCAATTTAAAAAAAGTTAAATAAAAAAAATGCTGGTTCCATTTTTTCTACCTTTAACATTTTCGAACGAATGGGCCGGCACGCCCGGTAAAAAACCACGACCAAACAGAGGACAGGCTTGAAATGGGAGCAATTCCGCGTTCCGACTGATGAGTGTGTTGCGGAAGGCTCAATTTTAGTCCTTTTCCTGCACCACCCTCTTTTTATAAGGAAAAGATTGGACGGGAAAGTGCATTTGATGGAGGAGGAGACGCATAAGGGAAAATATCCTCTCTATGTGTGTCTCCTCTTCCGTCGGTTTAAGGTAGGCAACGCATGGGCAGCGGTCGCTTCGCCCTTATAGCGGATTCAAGTGGCCGCTTGCTCGTTTGCCACCTAATGATATAAAAAAATCGTCTGTGAGTCCATGAAATCTATGCACGGACTACGCGCTTTACTGTCCAGCCTGAACTCTGAACGTAGAGTTAAGAGATAGGGTAGGTCTTAGGAATGTATACTGGGAAAAATAAAAATCTATCAACTTAAATCTTAACATTTATTGATGTATTAAAGTGGAGCTGGAGTGGGTGCTTCATGGAATGAGGATACTCCAGTATCGTTGCAGGTGTCATTTATCGTCTTCTTTCTCTTTAGTCTCCTTCGTCTTGGTCTTGTTGTTTCTCTCGCGGTCGCGGTCGCGGTCCCTGTCCCGCGAGCGCTCGCGCAGGCGCGGCGACCGCGACCGCGACTTGTGCCGGTGCGAGCGCGACCGCGACCGCTCCCGTCTGTACGATCTGCGTCATTTAAATATTACAGTATACATTTACAAGAAAAACAATTGGTTTCATAACGTACTACATCATAATATTATATCGAGAAGGTCTTTTTTCAATCCAAAGATGATGAAAAAAGAGAAAATAGAATTGAGTTTAACGCTATAGAAGTACACAATATACTTACTTTTCCCGAACTCTGTCTGGCTTTATGGAGCGCGAGCGCTCGCGGTCTCGGTCTCGCTCTCTCTCATCCTGAGTACAACACTACAGATTAGTAAAAAAAACACAACACAGACAAAGTCAATACTAGTGATGTACAGGACTCTACATATCATAGTAATATTATAAATGCGAAAGTTTAGATGGATGTTTGTTAGATTTTGTAGCCAAAATGGTTGAACGGATTTCGATGAAATTTGGTAAAGATGTAGAGAATAGTCTGGAAGAACACATAGGCCACTTACTTTTGTTTTTTTTATTCTACGCGGACGGAGCCGCGGGCGACAGCTAGTAGTATTATATGTTTTGGGCTGTTTTTAATAAACAAACATTTGATACAAACGAAGAAACTTGCTTTTTGAACACGCCTGGGGACTTGAGATATTCGGTAATAAATGAAGTCCAGTGAAATCCATCAATATCAGATAGCAGCATATATTATAAACTAGCTTTCGCCCGCGACATCGTCATGACGGAATTTAAAAAAAATTGCCTATGTGTTCTTCCGGACTATCCTTTACATCAGTATCGAATTTCATCGAAATCCGGTCAATCGTAAGGCTACAAATTCTAATAAACATCCATACATCCATCTAAACTTTTCCATTTATAATATGAGTATAGATATACAAGTAAGGTAAAGACATACCTCTTCGCGCCTGTCGCGGTCTCTGCGGTCTCTATCTCTGTCGCGGTCGCGGTCCCTGTCGCGGTCGTAGGCGGCGTGCGCGTGCGGTGCGTGCGGCGCGTGCGGCGCGTGTGGCGCGTGCGGAGCGTGCGGGTGCGCGCGGTACGGCGGCGGGAAGCCGGCGGGCGGCGGCGCGGGCGCGCTGGGCGGCGGGCCCATCGCCAGCGGGCCCGGCGTCAGCTCCTTGATCTCGCTCGGCGCCCACCCGCCCTCGGCGTGACCTGACCGGACCATACATTCATATACGACCTGCAACTGCGCTCGGATACTGCTTAAAAGATAAAGCCATCATTAAACTTTAAATTTCTTACAATTTTACGTCTGTTAAGCGGCGTTTATGAAGCTAAAATACTAACATCTCTTGTTACACACTCCCCCCCCCCGCATTACTTTTCATAACTCTGAGAACAAATGAGATAACTTTCTTGTTTTTTACATCGAAGTGACGTCTGCGCGAATGTGAGGAATGAAAAGAATGAAATATGACAATTGACGTCACGTGTCTCAAGCCAAATCCGGTCGCGTTTTAGTCGCACGAACATGATCGTAATTTTACTTTATTAGCTCAATGGTTGATTTTTTTCTATTCATTATTGTTTTCTGGTTATCTTATAACAAGTAGAATCGTTTAAAATTTGGATTTTTTTTTCTTTTCTAAAAATTTCGATTGTTTAATTTATGCATCAACTGTACAATTATCGCTGGTATTGTTCACATGTGGCAGCATACATACCCCAGGGCTCGTCGTATGGCGGGTGTGCGTGCGGGTGCGCGTGCGCGGGCGGGTAGTAGTGGTCCGGCGGCGGCGCGCCGAAGTAGTCCGGCGGCGCGTCCCGCCCGTGCCCGCCGCGCCCGTACTCGCGCCGCTCCGCCGTCATCACCTGCCCACAGAACCACACTCAAACTCACTATATTCAAAAACACATTTTTTTTTTACAAACAAGTCAAATGAGCAAGCGGCCACCTGAATCTGCGAAAATGTCGAAGGAACCGCTGCCCATAGCCGTCCGCAATAGCAGATACGTTGCCTACCCAAAATCCATCGAGGAGGAGACGCACATAAAGAGAACATTTCCCCTATGCGTCTTCTCCACCATCAAATCCACTTTCCCATCCAATCCTTCCCTCGTAAGAAAAAGGTGGGACGGGAAAGGGCCTAAAATTAGGCATCAGATGAAAGGCAGAATTGCTTCCACTTCATGCCTATCTTCCGTATGGTCGTGTATTGCTTATGGCGAGCCGACCCATTCGTTCGAAGATGTTAAAGCGGACTCTACCACAGTAGAGTACCACTCGGTATGTATGCTTACTATTGGACTTCAGTACTCATGGGTATACTAAAATTAAATAGATTATAAAATAGACAGTATCATACCTGAATAGTGTTCTCCCGAACTTGGTAATTATTCTGCATTAGAGGTTGAATTGCATCATCTGTTCTTATTGGACCTGCAGATTAAAAATTTATCAAAGTAACTAGTTTAATAATGCTTTAGTATGATCATACTGTAAACAAACAGTTGTTGTTAAGAGATGAATGCACATTGAGTGTTGGCGCCTGTGTCACCTTCATATGGATCCCTAATGATCGACGGACATCACTAGCAACAGCGTCACACGGACATCCCTATTGGACATTCATTCACTCTCTTGCATTTCGTCTGACAAACTGCGCGGCCATGCATCGTATCTCGCGCTAATTAACTTATTCTTGTTTGTAAAACCAAAATGTAACATTTAGTAACTAAACAACCATGAAGCTAAGTACCAGCGTTTCATTATGTCCATATAATAAGAGGCATAAACATTGAGATTGCCAATAATTCTTTGCACAATCATAAAGCGCAAAACGCAAGCCTACTTCCTATTCTCAATCATATAAGGCAAAACTAATTGTTTATGAGTTGTCCTTAATGTAGAAATATTTAGGAATTAACTTCCCAGTGACACCATAGGGGCGGAAATAAAAAAATATTTAGTTGTGTACATCCAAACCGCGTTCTCTATCTGTGCCAAAATTAATTGAGATCAAATATATAATACCTCATAACAAAACTTTCGAAAATGTAATGTCAGACTAAGTGCAGTTCAATCACCAGGATATCATACTAATATCATAAATCCAAAAGTTTAGATTGATGGATGGATGTTTGTTAGAGTTTGTAGTCTAAACAGCTAAATGGAATTTGATGAAATTTGGTATAGATGTAGAGGATAGTCTGGAAGAACACATAGGCTACTCAGTTTTGTTTTGTTGTTTAATTCAACGCGGAGGGAGTCGCGGGAGAAAGCTAGTAAAGAATAAATGATTACTGCATGGTTTTGGTAACCACAAAACAGTGTACATTGTGATTAGTTTAGTCATTTTTGACACACAGTAATAGTGGAAGTGTTACCATGGTTGCGGGCGCGGTCCTGCGGCGGAGGGCGCGGTGGCGGCGGCGCGTGCAGGCCCACGCCCGCCTCCGTCACGCGCAGCCGCCGCTGCCGGTCGCAGTACGCGCTCCACGTCACCTCATTGAACCCGTAGTTGAAATAATCTGAATGTTGTGCATTTATTAAATATTGGCCATAATAGAACAAATAGATTACAAGTATACTAAAATGTACTAAAGTATTGTAAAAGTTCAGAATATAAAGGTCTAAATGAACCTATAAATTATTAAAGACAATGATATAACTATAAAGATTTTTAATGTTTATAACTCTGAAGTTTTCTATTAAGAATTAAAAAATATTCAAAACTGAAAGTAGTAAAGAAAAATTCATTTTATCATCAAATTATTTTACCATCACGATTTGATTGTTGTAAAAACCTTAAAATACAGAAAAGAATATACATAAAAAAATTTGCAGAATGATTCCTTACAAAAGCAACAATATTAAATAACAATATTTCCATTTTTAAAAATCCCTGACTTACCAGATATATCAGCTCCAGGTTTGTTCCATGGTTTGTCTTCAATAGTATCAATGTTAAACTCCAAAGCAGGCACTCCATTAATACTACCAGGTCCTTCAAGATCTTCTATAGTCACTTTGTTGCCAGTAGTTGTGCCTCCACGAGGCTTCTCGCCCACTCCTGATGCCACGAGACCCACACCACGCTATCATACATTACACTATTAATATTATTGTAGCCACTTAATAGAAGAATGTTAACTGAAGTTTCAGAAAAGAAAAAACACCACCATTTACTATAGACCACTAAATTTGCAAATATTTATCATTGATTTATTTAGTTTGCACTATTTAATAATTCTAGTATTTTTATTGTCACTTACTTTGATATTCAAACTTCCATACTGAGGTCCAGATTTAATTTCACCAATAGTAACTTTCACATCATCACTGTCATCCGAGTCTGAGTCTCCATTATCCTGACTATCTGCATCATTCCCTTGATCCTGATCCTCCTTGCCCACATCCGCAAAATGTTCATCATTGAATTGAGAGTCCTCATTATTTCCATCATTTTCATCTGGTTCCTTCTCTTCATTATCCTGTAAAAACAATAAGGTTGACTAGCTATAAAAGCTAATTTGCGCTCCCATTCTCATACTTTTATGACTCAACCTAACTATTGGATGGTAATAATTCTTTAGTAGAGGAAAAAAGATAAACTAAAAGAAGGTGCTAGCTGTTTAAATTTCCCATTCCATGATATCGTAAATTTTGTAAGCTTCAACTTATTTCCAAATACCTCGTTTGTGTGCAAATATGCATATATTGTCTGGGATATATTTGAATAAAAAAAAATTTAATACATCAATTTAAAACGACGATAATTAATTAATGTACAGTCTGTGTTTGTCATATATCATGTATTTTTTCTTAACGTATCAACAATATAGGGTATAGGTTATAAAAAATACGCACCGCAGCTACTTCACCCGATTCCTTTGGAGGTTCCGATTTATCATCATTTTCTGCAGTCTCACTTTCAACTTGATCAGTATTGGAATCACCGTATAACCAATTATCATCATTTTCATCAGCGGGAGCCGTTTCCATTGCAGTCTCTGCCATTTTTGTTTGACACAAATCAGAAAAATCAAAATGTGACAGTTGTGTCCAAAGAGTAAATATTACATTGACAAACCAAAGAGTAAATAAAGTCTAAACCGTCAAATACAGAGTTGAGCCGAGCATCCAATTAGATTTTCCAGTAAAAGAGCTTTTAAAACAAATCTTTTGGTCTGCATTGCTATATTAAACAATGAGATAAATCTACGTAAAGCAAGGAAGTAAAAAAAAACAATTATTTATGACGCTTGAATACTTTATAATTTACTGATGGAAATAATGAACATCACAACTGTTAAGCAATTATACACGCAAATATTAGTCTAAGCCATTTCTTCGTTTAGGGAATGTTTTAACTTCAACTTCCTCCACTTTCTGAGCTACTTCAGCCAGGCCTTCGGCAGCCTTGGATGCTGCGGAGCCACAGGTCTCTGCCACTTCCTGAATTCCTTGTGACACCTAAACATAACATTTAAACCCTAAAGCTTCTATTGATAAACTGACTGAAGTATTGCTTCTTTGCTTTGCATAAAGTTATTACATTTGTAACAAGTAGTGACCCCCATTTGTCTTTCATCATTTTTGACTACAAGTTACAATCAAACCTTAATTAAAAAAACTTGAAGCTACTTTTACTTCATATGATCTCAAATATAATTATATGAAATACTAAAGGGCAGTATCCTGCCCTTGCAATAGTAGTATTTAATTTGTTGCTCTTAATAAAGAGCACCAGAACCAGACAAGCATGGATGTACAGATGCATGACTATCAATTTAAGACAAGTGTCATGCACCAAACTGTGGTCAGTCTGCCTACCCGTCTGAGATATGGGCACAAGTTTTGTAGTTGTTGACCAACAAAGGCGACATGTTAAAAGGTAGCTATTGTCTCTATATTGCTATGGCAATCAATAACAACATATTTGGAATCAAAATTTGTCAATTGTGTATAGTCTTGTACAACATATTATGTAGTATGCTTATGCTTGCTATCGCATAACATGGATTATGTGCCTTTTTAATTAACTGAACTCCTATATTTAAAAAAAAATACAATGATATAAAAATTACTAGCTACTCAGCAAGTCATAATAAGTAGGAATCAACATCTCATATATATGTATAAAAATGGTATTACCGCATCAGAATCAGCCTTTACTTCTGCAGCTTCTGCTTGCATTTTGTCAACGGTTTTTTGCAATTGAGGAACTTGTTGAATAGCCTCAGATTCCAATACAGGAGCAGCCTGTATAAAATGTTACATGACTAACAAAATCAAAGAGATGTTAGTTCAAACAGGCAATACAAATCAATGTTTCCAATTTAGAGTAATATAAACATATAGCCCAGTTTAATATGAAAGTACTAAAAAAATCGCTTTTAAGTATGTAAAGAAGAAAAATAGAATGCCACCATTTTTCTTAGCAGTCTAAACTGTTCTAAGACTCATAATGCTATACCTGTTTACAGCGATGCATGCAGTGACAGTGATGTCTGATAACTGGTTCCGCGGCTGCCACTTCTTGCATTTTCAAATTGTTCTGCTGCATCTAAAAATTAACAAGTATTTATGTATCATCACTATCATCACTGCAATCATGACTCTCAAGCAATACTTACATTCTCAACGTAATTAGGATCGGTGTAGTTGTTTAATTCGGTGGCTCTTTGCATGCCTTCGGAAAGTTTCTCATGACCAGCTGTGGCATTATTTATTGACTGAGCTGTGTTCAATAAATTAGTAGTGGCCGAATCCTCTTGTTGACCATCAGCTGGGTTATTTAGCGCTAAACCCAATTTCGCTTCTAATTGTTCGATTCTATTTTGTAAAATTGCAATAGGATCCATTATAGAGATTTTAAAAAAAAGTGAAGAACAAGAGCTAAAAATGTAGTGCAAAGAATGAAAACGAGAACTTTATGATAGAAAACTATTCAAAAATCGAATAAGAATTTATTTTTAAAATAAGAAAAAGAACTCCAAAACTTGACAGTTAAGTATCGTGACGTCACTGGACGGGAACGTGAACGTGAACAAATATCGTCGTGATTATGAAACCAAAATTTAATTAAAAACGGATTTTAAAAATAGCCTAGTCTTTATAATTGAACTAATCCCATACAAAATCTTGACTGGTTTAGCAAAATATAATAGATATTATACTGCTTTACGCATCAGTCATATCATACGTGGTTCTTGACTCATACTTTATTCATAAAATTACAATACAGAAAAATTGATTTCAGCAAATCTACGTTTATTTCCTTCAATTTTAGACTTCATGGTAATAATTCCGTTTCAAGTATTATTTTTCTGTTTTGGACATTGTTGTAAGTCTTTATTACTATTTCTATTTTTACATTAGGCAATGATTTTCTAGTTGACAACAGATAGTCAATGTCATTGTCATGTAAATGTAAGATGTCATATTTCCGGGGGTTTATTTTTGTCTAATAATTATTTATAAAATAAAATGAGAGTCCATAAGAATACAGTAGAATATTAAAATATAAAAGTTATTTTTTGCTCATATATTTAAGTCATATAAGGAACGATAACCTATTGGTATTTCCACAAAATACAGATAAGTGATTAGGTATAAAGTAAGGTGTAACTTATAAGACATTTAAAATAAATATATTAATTTGTCTAACATAATGGATGAAGAATTGGGTGAACTTACAGAAAATGATTTCATTATTCCACCAATAAAATATGAGTGTAAGTAAATGTTAATATTGTGCAATTTATTTTGTATCTCTTTGAATAACCTCTTAAATGTATTTACCGTTTAAATCACCTATATTTTTCAGATTTGGATCACACTGCTGATGTTCAGTAAGTCACAAAATATACAATTTAACCTTTGTTCCTATTTATATGTATAAAAAAAGTTAAAACATAAAAATTGTAGTTTGTAACTTTATTAGAAATTTGTTTGTGTTTGAATGTTTGATGGTTAAATATTTATTTATTCTAATTTTGTTCAAAACCATCATAATATAGTAGCAACTTTAATATAAATAAAGATGTGACTCACAACAATCTTGTAATAAATTAGATTTAAAATGAAAAGGACTAAGAGTTTGATTGTGTTCTATGATGCAATATTTTCACCCTACTTACATGAAAATGTTTTTTTTTTTCTTAAAAAAATAAAGTCAGTTTTGTTAGTATTTTAAATTATTGTATTTGCCAGTTTTGTTGAGTTTGTTTTGTATAATAAGTATGAATGTTTATGCAGAGGGATGGGATATGATTGATCCCTGAAGATGGTTAGATTCCTGAGATACATAGTTTTTGTTTTTCATATCAAACAGCTAGCTTAATTATTAAAGATTTTTTTTAGATTTCTAGTTAGGATTAAATTGTACGTGTTGATTTTTCTTTGTTTCTAGGCTACATGCATGGGGAGAAAGCCTTAAAGAAGCTTTTGAACAATGTGGTATGGCAATGTTTGCGTACATGACAGAGATGGACTATGTTCAAATAAGAGAAGTGCACACTGTAGAAGCAAACGCTGATGACATGATGGGACTTCTCTATCATTTCCTAGATGAACTGCTTTTTCTCTTCTCAGCAGAACCATTCCTCATTTGCAAGAAGTTAGTCATAACAGAATTCAATACAGAAGAATTCCGGATAGTATGTAAATGCTATGGTGAAGAATTTAGTATTGGCACACACCCACAAGGGACTGAAGTCAAAGCAATTACATATTCAGCAATGCAAATTATTGATGAACCGAAAGATCATAAATTTGAGGTTTTTGTTATTATTGATATTTGATATGATCATAATATAATATTTTTATGTAATGTTTAATATTTTTTGGTATTTTAATTTACCCTAACAGTCTATCCTATGTAAAAATAAAATATGAATGCGCAGTTTAGATGGAGGATTATTATTAAAAGGTAAACATGTATAAAAACTAATTATGACCTTTGAGCAGTAGAAATACAAATTTTTTGCAGACTGGTAGGCATTTCCAGCTTCCCTTGTGTTTTTTTTACATATAAATGATAAGAAAAGTGTTGCAGATACCAACTTAAATTTGAAATGTAACATTTGTTTTTTAAACTAAGTAATCAGTATTAGATTCATTTGGTGGGAACTACATTAATATTTTCGTATTTTATTCAAGTGATCCTCAAAGTTGGCACGAGTAGATTTCGTATTAAGATGAGGACTTAACTGTAATATACTTGCTACTTCTGTTATTTTTTTATACAACATACAACATGTTATGGATGTATTTTTGTTGAAGAATGAAGAAAGAAGGTTTTCTTCATAGAATTTCTTTCATCGTAGACAATATTATGGTTTACGACAGCTACTTAATTTTAAGTGATCGAGGTATGAAACTTTGTATTCAACAGAGGCGCATTATCTGTTGTAATATCTAAAAGCAAAAATATTTTCAGACAATGAACGAAATAGATGACGACAAACATGATTCCGGCGACATTAAAGAAACTTCACTCTTCTACTTAAACCTGTGCACTTTAGTAAAGCAGCACTCTTAGAGGTGTCACCTTGCGCGTCTATATTTATCCTTGTCTCCATATTTATCCTTTAAATAATAAATAATAATGATGATGATGAAATAATCTTCGATCGATCTTAAATGTTCATAGAATGTGCCGCCGGAAATCATCATCAGATTTCTCTTGTCCCTTCGTAAGGTCGACACAGTGTGTGCAGTGATAAATTGCATAAATGGATCGATTACAGCTACTTCATGAGTTGCATGTAGCAGTAGTGGCGTAGCTTGGCATAGCTTTGCTGAATCGCGAATGGCATTCCTTAATACCAGAAAATAAAACAAAACACAGATCTTAACAGTTTTGAATCTCACGTAAAGGATCTTTCCTTTAAAATTAGAAAAAAATATTCCTTCCTTCGCGTTGTACTTTTCGCGATAGGCTGATGTACATATTTAGGGGGCTTATTAAATAATGAAAAGGCTCTTTGCCCGCCGTTTCGGTCTTCTTCAGGTGCCATGTGAAGTGACAACACAAACATAAGGTGTTGGACTGTGCAGTTTGGAGACAATTCTCAACGTTTGAGTTATAAAAAAATTAACTAGTATTTAAAGATTGACAAAATCCTAAAATTAGGGATCTTGTACCAGGGATACCTTAATATCTTCAACTACTTCTGCCTCTGCCGTTGCCTTGGATTGAGAACTAGTAGAAACGAGGGAAAAAAAGAGTTACATACCAATAGAAATAAACCTGTAGAAAGTGGTAAGTGATACTGGTACGCATATTACCTTAATTTTGTCAAGCCCGCGAATTCGTACAACAGCTGATGTTTTTGAAAACTGGTTGACATTGCAGTTATAGCAATCGGAACATTACGTTCATTTTATTAATAAGAGAAGGGGGCTAACGTGCCCACCAAGGTGATCATTGCCTCCCATGGACATCCGCAACAGCAGAGGAACTGAAGATATGTTGCCGGCCTTTTATTTAGAGATATGTTGTTTTTTTTAAAGCACCATAGGCAGGTAATGTTTTCTAAAGTATTAAGATTCCTATCTTGTTCCCCCATGGCTTAATACAACAAGAACATGGCAACATAATGCAACAGAATGGTATAAGATGGTGTTGGGATGGTTCTCCTCGGATTTTGACCACCGAAGGGGAGGGGGTGTAATCCAGCATCGAGGAAGCAGCCACTGATGAAGTCGAGGGTCGCCCTCTCGGGCACCCTTTAATCGGAATTTTAAACGTGTATTGAGTGACAGCCCGTGCCGAGCTCCCTTCTCGGGGGCCCTTGTGGTGCCTAGTCACACCATGGTGCATCCACCGAAGCGATCTAAGACCTCGACGGCCTCCCAATCCTGTAATAACGAAGTAACGGCTCGACCCAAGGCTCCTGAGGCAGCCCTCAAGTTACTAAGTACTCACCTAGTAGTTTATGAGTATAAAGGAGGTTTTGGCTAAGCGCCACTTGCGCTTGGCCACCTCAAGCCTGGTGAATCTGTATGATAAATGCCTCTTCAAGGTAAACAGCGGCCATTCAGTGAAAAAAAAAAAATATTTGGACGTCACTTTCTTTTCTACATTCGTAATGCATGTTGTTCTTAAAGTCGTTAAAATGTATTTAAAAAAAAAGTTTGACTAGTCTCAACATAAATTTAAAAATACACGCTAGAGGGCGCTTTATTAGACTTTTATACTACATCATTTTGTATTATGCGCAATAAAATTAGTTTGTTATTGCTATAACATTTTTTGTATGATTATTTAATTAAAAATAAAAAACTAAAAAAAGCAATTTACTATTTTGGAAAATGAAAATGCGAATGTATGGTGTGTTCCGTTCGACGACCGAATGTGAATCCGTAGTTCATTATGTTTTTCCAAAAATGAGATAACAAGAACATTATTAAAAATTAAATGACAACTAACTGAGATCAATAGAAGTTTAATGGTAATGCTTTAAAAATACTACGTACGTAATTAATTTTTTTTAAATACTGGTTATTTTGAGGAGAATGACTATAGATGTAACACAGAACTCCTTTTTGTCTATGAATACTTCTATTTTCTTTAATCATTTCCGTTCTATTCGCGCGTTCATAATCATGACTTCCTGTACAGGCAAAATATTTGAAATCGGTAATTAGAGTTTGTGAATGTTAATGCCAAATTAACAAGTGATAATTTTAAACAGACTTTGAAATTTGCAAGGATTAACAACAATGTAAACGAAAAGTAACATTTTTATCGTTATTGGAGTGTAAATAATTTTAACTTTTAGATTTTAAATGAAAATTTGTTGCTTTTATAAAGTTATAATAATACCGATGGCAAAAATAAGTAGACAAATTAAAATGTCTGATTATCTTTAAAGATATTGATAAACATAGTCACATAAATATACGTTTATTATTAAATCAAAATTAGTAATTATATCAAATAAAGGTAAGATAAAATGTTTACTTAATTCTGCAATCCTCATCAAAGAGCACTAGTATGTTATGTTAAGAAGTAAATGTAAAATTGGAGCAAACCGACTGGACTAGACGATTTATATTTTTATTTTGTTGAAATAAAATTGAATAGAGCTGTTTTATTTAAATTTTGGAGAAATAGAGTGATTCTCTGAGGTTTCTTTGTCCTTACCGACTATCACAAACATCGAGAAAAAACGGTATACATTTAAAAAAAATTACAAACTACTGCTGGGATTTTTTAAGCATTCTACAATGCCTAAAAATCAGATTTTATAAACGTTCGCACTGCTCTACATAAAACCGGTCACCTAACAAAAATTCAAAATTCGTTATTATATTTTTTATGGCTTCTCAAACGAGGGGAGGATTTTGAAGATCGGCGTCGGCTAGGGGTAGCTTGGCCGGCCGCTTCGCGCCTGCGCACGTAGTTCGCGCCACTGCTACGTCGCTTGCAAGCCAGATGTTCTGAAAAGCTTCCTGTCGTCGTTACGTTGCTCTTCATTTTTATCTAATAAATGTAAAATGTGGAATAGGCCACTCCTTTTTGTATTTCATGTTTAGTGAAGTTCTTAGTGAATTAATTTAATATGTGTACGATAATTTGTGACATTTAACTAAATTTATCGGCCTCGATGTCCACGAGTTCACTCGAGACCAACAAAGCGGCGGACATTTTATTTTGAGTACTCGATAATGTAGCGTTTGCGTCGAAAACATTAAATGTCGTTTTATGGTCCTCAATTCGGATATCGTTCGCTTACACCTTTCGTAAGTATTACAATTATTAAACCGATTTTTTATTCATTTATCTGATGTGTAGACGTATCATTTTGGAGCGGTTAAAACTAGGAATTACCGCTAGGTCGTCGATATTTTTGGGGAAATGTCGTTGAAAAAGTGACGTAAGCAAAATTGGGCACATGCAGGTACTGCTATAGCCTTCATATATTACATAAAAGTTATTATAATTTATATCGACCCGCTTCGCTTTGGAGGCTTCTCACCTGTGATTTCCGCGCGCGCGGCGCCCCTAACCTCTTCACTAATTTAATTGTGATACTTACGTCTTATCTTTTTAATACTACGATTTTGAAGAGATGGTCATGTGTAGTTTTTGTGAACAGCGATGCCGAGGGGGGTGAAGCGAGGGCAGGCGGAGGGCGAAGCAGAAGTGGTGGTACGCGTCGGGGCGTCTCCGTCGCAGACCACGCTACTGGATGACAGCCCAAGCCAGCCCATCAGCTACCACCTACTGGACCACGGTTATGGCGCTACACCACAGCACCAAATCAGGCGTGAGGCGCCCACGGCACCGCCGAAGACGTCTGAAGTAAGTTGGTAAAACTTTGTTTCCTCAGATCTCATGTTTACCATTACAGTGACTTATAAGTTGTAACAAAAATTGCCAATTTCAGTTGCACCTGGTCCTACATTTCATCATCCATTTATTTGTATAAATTTCCCTCTTAATTCTTATCTCTGTATTTCCTTAACAGAGTTGGAGAGTAAAGCATACTTTATAAAAAGATTTGAGTGTAGACATGACCAATATACTGGTTATACTTCTAATAGGCTTATTTATTATTTCTTGTTTAAATACATCCACACTTCTAAAATGAAATTTAAATCAAGGAAGTTGAATACATTACCAGCTGATTTCTGATTTTTTCTCTTAGAATAAATATTCATTTTCAGTCCTTTTGAGTTTAGGGCCCAGCGACAGTCATCTTGTCTTCATAATTGATTTATCTCCGAGGGGAGGTGCATATCAAACATACTTTTAGTTAGCGAATTTACTTGCAATTTATTGAAACTTACCAGCCTTTACATTTTATGCCCTTTGCAATATAATGTCCTATTACAACAGTATACACTATCAGTTATTGAGATTCAGGTTGTATTAAAAAAAACAATAGTAGAGGTCAGAAAACAAGCCGCTTTAATTCAGTAATTTATCATTATCATTATTATCAATCTTGTTGTAAAATTTTGTATAATTAATAACATAGAGTATAGAACAGTAACCAAATGATGCATACATGGGGTTTATTTTTAAAAGGAATGTTGGAGAAATTTGTTGTTGTTGTCTTGGACACTTTTCTTAGAATTGAACACAAGTTTTCCAGTATTTTCAACATTATTCTATGAATCAATCTGTTAAGATATATGTTTGGTAAAAAGTTTTAGGTTATCTAATCAACCATATCATTATGAGACAGTTATTTTTTTTGATTAAGAGAGTCATAGTTTCAGAAACATTTTGGTCACATTTAAGGTCAAAGACCCATTGGAGGGCAATGAACCAACAAGTGGAATCGAGATTTTACATAAATATTAAAATTTAAGCAGATTTCATTTGCTATTAGTAGGTTGAGTTACATTCTTTTCATTTTATTGTAATGTTAATTTAATTATGGAGAAATGGTTATTTACTGGAGATGTGTTGATTTATGTTTGTAAAAGAAATATTTGTAAACAGAATTATTGTACCAAAAATACATCATTTCGATTTCCCTTAACTTCAATTTCATTAGTTACATTCGGTTATAAGCTTCTTTAGGTTTATTTAAAAATGTTTAGAACCTTTTTAAGTAAGTTCATAATTTGAACTTTGTGTTTTGAAAGTGTCAATTACTGTTCTATCAGTATAATAAAGTATGATATTAAGAAATTCACATTGATTTAGTTGGTGAATTGTTCTTAATTTGTCAAGGGAATTGTGATTTTTGTTGTCCAGACTTCAAGTAATCTTGTTAAAGGATAGATGAAGTATTTACTGATGTGGTATTACTTGTTTATTGGCACTTTATTCCAAGTTTATATTATTTTCATAGTACATTATATCTTTCTCATACATGAGTAGAAATGTAAGGTTTATGAAGTATAGTGAAAGATGTGGACTTTCTGTTTTATCATATCCTGATAAAAACATTGTATAGATTACAAATGTATTTTAAAGATTTTTATGGTAATTTCATATCTGTTCTTTAAAAATTTGTGATAATTGTTGCAGTGGTATTCATTGGTACCTGTTTCTTAATATTTGTATTTCTGTAAACATGATATGAAATAATTTAATGTAGTAACCTTGGTTTTCTCCCTTTAAGGCAAAACATTGGCTAATTTGTAAATAAATTAAGCCATTTGTTGCTTGTATTGACATTTTGTTTATACTTGAAGTTCAAGAAATATTCTTGGACTTTCAATTCTTACTTTGTTCAACATTTCCTGATTGTCAACACTATTGTAGTAAATTTTGTAATTTCTACAATATTCTGATAAATCTTTTAATTAATGTCTTCCTGCACTAGTCATTCATAGTGCCTTGTGCATGTAGCATAAATGGAGGTCACAGTGACATCACACTTTCTTCTGACGTAATTTCTAATAGCAGTCAAATTGTTATCTTCTGTGTGGGATCAGTACCTAGTGTAGGGACCATTTTAATTGAAAAAATCAAGTACATTTATAGACAAACCAAGTAACTTTTGAATTATTACGAAAGGCACAACTAATTATGAAATCAGCTGGAGGTCTAACCTTAAACTTGTCGTTTTCGTGTAAATGTGTTTAAAAATAGCAATGTACAAGTGTAATGTGACACATGTCGGCAGTTTGTCGATGGCGAGATGACGAGCTGCGCGACGCCATGTGGGTAGCCTATGGGGACACGTGGCCCAGGTACATACGTGCGCGAATCAGTCAATGCCCTCTCCCTGCGACTAATCCTTATAACCAGGGGTGACTTACCCCTTGGACTACAATCTAACACAACCTCTATTAAATCGATCGATGTGAAAAGATTGTGCTCATCAATGGCAGATAGAACGTCACAACGTAATTCGTATATCAATTATTAACGTAAGATCACAGAAAGGGCTAAATTGATTATGTTAATGGCGAATTTTGTTTAAGGCAGGGGTCGACGTTCTTGCCGCGGGCCCGTTAGCACATCTGCTCCGATTTACTGACGCCAGCACATATGGGCACAAAGACTTGTGAGACCCGCAATTCAGCGAATTAACAATAGAGCGGCTCATTCACTATTAATAATAACAAAATGTTTAAGATAAGAAATTGGCATTCTTTTGCCAGAGGTCCCTTCCGAGAGCTCGGCTGCTTTTGTGTAGATTCTAATTTATGTCGTGCATTGTGCCGGTAGGTACCCTCCCCACACACTTCCTTACGCGGGGGGCTTTGGCCCCGACGTTTGGAATTGAATTTGTTGCATCGACTCATTGAAAATGTCTCGTGCATCTATGGCGCACACACTAATCTATTTTAATTTCTTTGCCAAATTATTTTAATTAAGTTGACAATAGAGTGACTTTCCACGATGTTACCGCACGCAGTAAACTGTGCAGTGATAAAAGGTTATTGATTGAATTAACGTTTTGAAGCAAAATGTTGTCTGGTAGTCGATATCTACAAGGAATTTTGGAAGATTCTCTTTTTGCCGGGAGTTACTTCATTAACGTAAGTAACCACTGTTTTTGTGGAAGATTTGAAATTTGCCTTTTTTCGTATAATAAAATGTTCATACAAGTAATGCATGATATGTTCAACTCTGTTTTAAATATTGTTAGTTTTATAATTTTATTTAAGAATTTCCGATACTCGGGCTTGCATTTTATCAGACGGGCATGTACGGTTTCCTGACGGAGTCCGCACATTATTGTTCTCACCGGCTTAATACGCGTTGATATTCAGCTGTTATGTGACATTCATTTAACTCAGTGCCCTTGTAATTAAAGTTAAATAGTTTTTGTGTATTTTAGTGTTTCTCAATTTTAATATGAATTCATAACCAATTAAATATTACTTATTGCCTTTATTAATTTTAAAACGTTAATCTATTTTTAGACATATTTTATTTAATTCGTGAGGATTTTTTTTCTAAAGATTAATCTGTTTCATAAGTATTTGCTCGAAGTTAGGTCGGTATGTTTGATTTCGAGGTTTTTTTTTTACATTTTGGCAATAGAAAGGGTTTAGAGGACATAACAAAAACTTGACAAACATTAAACCGTTATCCTTTACCTGCTATTCCCTACGCTCTTAAGATTTATCTAATTCTTGCTATAGGTGAACTATACTCAAGCACGATAGAGATACTCGAATTGTACCTATCGTTATTTTTATAGCTGTACCTGCATTTCTTTACAGCTAATTCGGTCAAGGTCTACTTTCTAGAAGCACACGTCGCTTCCAAGCCTGACATTGTTATCCGTTGAAGTTTTATGTATAGGTACTTGACAAGCGAAATAATCATAACAATATTACGAGGTACTATACATACAGATACCATACGTAGCTGTAGTTTACCTGTGCGATATCATAAAAGGAAATAACTCAAAAGTAGTATGTCATTCGATCGACATTAAATAATTACAAAATATACGCAACATCTCCCGATCCGGAACGTAATAGACAGAAAGGGCGATAGCTATCCGTTTCATTTCGCTCTCATAAGGTCCCGAACGAGGGTGCGGCTTTCCCTGTACATTGGGCGTGAAATTCGGCGTTGTTTCTTACTATGAATGCTAAAATTCTCTGAAAATTTATTTTTCTCGTCGTAATATATGACGTGTAGATAATAAGTTAAATATGCTTGGTAAATAAAATAACATTGTTAAATTATAATAGATTCTTTTTTAAATGTTTCCTATAATGTGGGAAGCATCACGCATAGTGTTCTATAATCGTATAGCTGAGTGCCACGTGGTGATTGCACGTTGTACAAGCGCCATGCATTATCGAAACAGAGGGTCAAATCTTTAATACCAGCAATGCATGTTTTCCCCAGTCGTGTTGTCGATTTTCCTGTCTTCCTACATTTATCCAAACTCTCAACATTTATGCACGCTGAGTATTGTGGCATAATCTCTATAGCTCTGTGTATCTACGAAGTCGAAGAATCGATGACAATACAATGATTTTATCCTGACCAGGGTCATCAAATAGAAAAGTGGACCAATAAAGGTCCATATTTCGTTGTCATAATAATGTAAGGAGTTGTTACTTAATTACATATTGTTTTATCTTTTTGATATCGATCAGGTCTTCTTTACCGTAAACACGGAACCCAAAGTAGATAGCATGTGTGTAACATTTCAAAAATTATCTATCAGGATGTCGAATGTGGCGCAAAATAAGGAAATAGTGGTCATAGCTGTATGTCAGTAGCTGTTTCTTATATTAAGTTCCATTTAAAATGCTGTGTTTAAGTTACGAGTTATGACGTAGTCTAAATGGTTTGACCGACTTACTACTATCGGTCCATTCATGTACATCTATGTTGTATTAAAATTATATTTACTTACCTTGCCCTGTAATAGTATTAGTTCCGCCTGTCGTGAGGCGCAAATCTTGCTGATGCTGCGGTTTAACCTATTGGTAACAGCAATCTACACATAAAAACATCAGTGTCCCCAATAATATGTTACATCACACCACTGTAAGGAGATTTACGTGTTCTTGAGTGCGTTAATGACATGATATACTGAGACTGTTTATTATATTACATTTGATCTAAAACTTCTAAACTATGTTGTTTTTTTAATAAAAACTTTTGCTTCTGATAAGAGTGAAAGTTGAAGATCCCCCTTGATTTTGACAACGGATAACACCAATAAAGTCAAGTACTCGTTACAACAAATTTAATAAACTCTACGTTTATTAAATTTGTGCCTGGAGATTCCATTTAATGCTGTCTGCTTCCGCTTTCCGCATCATATAGTTCTGTTCAAATGCCTCATTCTTACGATGATATCTTCAATCTTTTGAAGGAGTTACGGTGCAAGTCGCGTTATAATATATCTGGTACGCTAATAAATAAGGCCGACCCTCGGCTCATTTAGGATTCGAATTCAGAACCTTAAGAACTTTTAGCTTTATTCGTTTATTAAAATTATGGTGACACTCGAACTGGTTACCCTACTTGAGTTGGTCGTCAGCTCGGACTAAAGAGCACCAAACTTGTGCACAGGCGGTGAAAAGAAGACTGAACCTGAGCGAGAGCAGTTCAGGCAGTCAGGGGCACGTGGTGCCGATGAAGGCAGACTTTAAAACTCCAAAGCAGAAGCGAGTCAAAGTGCTCACGCCCTACAGCCGACCGTCCAGTTCTATGAAAAAGTACACAGAACGCTCCAGGTACAATATTTTTCATCGAGGTAGGTAATTTTATTTCATAAATGTATTGGTATAGGTAAAGTTATAAAAACCGACGTAGGAATGAGATCAGAGAATTTAAAGTAACTTTGTAATTTGTTATATAAACTTGGACGGTCGCTGATTTTTATAGTTAGATTTCTTCCAGTGCTGAGCATGGCGTGGCCTATATTAGCAATTATGGAACTATAGGAAATTTATGAAGAATTAATGGTTAATTTTAATGTAGTTTTTGGATGCTTGTTTCAGGTTTGACACGTCATTAGGTTTACTCACGAAAAAGTTCGTGGCACTTCTCAAGTCGTCGCCGAACGGTGTGCTCGACCTGAACATTGCCGCGGAGCAGCTTTCAGTACAGAAGCGTCGCATATACGATATTACGAACGTATTAGAGGGTATAGGAATATTAGAGAAGAGATCAAAAAATAATATACAATGGAAATGTGGTGAGTAAACTTTCGTTCGTAAAGTTGCCGTAATCCTTTACAACCAATAGATCTAGTGTTATTAGCGCAATTAAATATTCCAATTTTCATTTTTAAGCTTAGTTATAGAGATGTTAATGTCTACATCACTATGCTAATGTCTACACCTGATAAATGATTACTTACTATTAGAAAAAAAGCTCCTTTACATTGCTATTATGAAGAAACGTATTTATTTATATTAGTGTTGTGTTACACGTACGGTGCGTGTACAAGCTACCACATGTAGTGTCTACTTTATCGATTGTACCATAGTTTAAACTTCGTGAGATAGCTGACGACATCTGCTTTTCACTTTAAATAATGCTTTGACTGTTGCTCTGTACTTTTTTCTACTTTCCCACGTTAATGTTTATTTTATTGTGATGTAAACAGGTTTGGCTAATGGAGTAACACCCCTATTTATGGTGCATATGATAAATGGGTTATAATTTTTTCTATTCTACTTAAAATAAGAACAGTGCAGCTTCAGATGTTTAGGCAAAACTTAAGGCAAAACCAGTTTTCGCCGTTTTAATTCGATTTCGTTATTCTTTATTTTCGTATCTATAATGAAGTCTTCAGTAATAATAATTTGAAGTAAAGATTCTTTAGGACCAAATCGAATGAAATGAAGGTTCCAGAATATTTCGTGTGAATAAACATGGCGTGGTTCGCAGGCGTGGGCGGGGGCGGCGGTGTGGGGGGCGCGTGCGAGGAGGGGCGCGCGCGGCGGCTGCGGCGCGAGGTGCGCGCGCTGGGGGTGCGCGAGGCGCGTGCGGCGCGCGCGGTGGCGGTGGCGGAGCACGCGCTGTCGCGGCTGTCGGCGGAGCACGGCGCGCTCGCGTACATCACCTACGCAGACCTCCGCTCAATAGATGACTTTAGAAATCAAACTGTCATACCTATCAAAGCGCCGCCAGATACTAGGCTTAGTGTAAGTTTAACCACAAGTCTATAATTTTTAGAGGATAAAAGTCGTTACTGAATGTTTTTAGACCTGAATCCTCTGGTAAAAATATTATGCAATATAGCAAAATATTATGATCTAAATTTTTTTTTATAGTATATTTTCTAGCAAGTAAATTATACAATTGTAAGGATTAAAGTAAAAAATAAGAAAAGAATGCTTTTGAAGGAGGATATATTGATCTCCATTACAGGTACCTCATCCTGACGAGAAAGGCTACATGATTCATTTGAAGTCAATGTCGGGAGAAATAGAAGTCTACCTCTGTCCCAAGGATCCGCCTGCGTCACCACCACCATGTAGGTTTCTCACATGTACTCATTTACGACGAGAATTTGATGGTTTGATACCTTTTTATGTAAACTGGTACACTTTATGGCTTACTAGATGTAATGTAATAAGCAATACCTACTAACATTTTCTACATTTACAGCTCTTACTAGAGAAAAATAATGTTTGTGCGAACACTAAAATCTTTTCATCACAAAAGTATTATTACTATAGTTTAAACTTTTCAACAGCTGGCCTCCTACCATCCGATCCGCTCTTGGAAGACAACAAGGCGCTCCTGGCGCCGCTCATTGCGCAGATGCAGTCTCGGCCCTCTAGTTCTATTATAGCTGATTTTACGTAAGAAACAATCATCTATTACAAACTTAACAACTATTTCTAAGATAAAATAAATTGGTATTCTTAATCTACATTTACAAGAATTAAAATAAATAAAAAAATATAGTAATAATGATGAGGATTTCTAAATGTTGTTTATATTTCTAGAACACCTATAAAGCGTGAGCGCGAGGAGCATGGGTCGCGTAGCCTGGTGGTGCGCACGCCCTGCGTCACCGACCCCACGCTGCCGCTGGCCGCCTCGCTGGGTGCCACGCTCAGCACCACGCTCGGCACCGCGATTGGCACCTCACTCGGCACCACGCTGAGTACCCCGTTAGGCACCACGCTCTCCGTGGGGCTCACCACGCCCGTGCGGCACCCGCCCTCCACACCCACAGACTCGCCCACGTTACTCTCCACGCCAGATAGTGAGTATACCGATACATTTGACACGAATCGGTAGACACAATCTTTGTATGAATTAGCAGGGAAGTCCGGTGACGTCACAGAAAACTGATGAAATCTAGAGAAAATAGATCACATAGATCTATGAGTTGTGTGTCTACCACTCTAAATACAATATTTAATTTTTTTTTAATGTAAAGTTGCTAAAATATGGCGTAAATATTTATAACAGATATAAAATTTTGAAGTATGTTGATATAGTTGGAAAAGCAATAATAAATAAGATTGTTTAAGACTGTAAATGTGTTTGCAGTGTGCGGCGCGCGCGGCCGGCTGCGCAACGCGCTGATCGCGGACAGCGACGACTTCGCGCCCATCATGGGCGGCGGCCGCTTCCAGATGCAGACCGAGGACCAGGAGTCAGGTAATCTCATACATACCAACAATTAACTTACACTCACGTGTACTTATTAGTTGATTTTTCCTTTTATCTTAATTATTTGGTTTGAAATTAGTATTTGGTCTTAGAACTGCATGGAAATAGCATCATAACTTACCATGTATAAAGACCTGTAATTCTTTTTATAACTAAATTGTAATTTATAGTGTTTTTGTCAAATTCAATATTTTTTATATTATAAAAATAACCAAATATGAATGAAGTCTTTTTTAAATAGTGTGTAGTATCTTTCATATATAATGATATATTAAAGATTTGAAATGCTTTTCGCAATCATTGTGGTGAAGGATTCATTTGTAGCCCTTCGTTCATGGTGTTCATTTCATTTTTTGTCCAGTTTGTACGGGCCTACATATTAATCATAGGTGAAGGGTTTCATCATTTCGGTATAAATATAACCTAACACTGTCAACGGATGATTTGGTTAATTTCTATCAATGTCAATATGTATTATAAATTTATCATGGCCAGTGAAGGCATTCTCCAGCAGGTTTAGAAGTATAGAAGATGGTGTGTCTGGACAAGCGCGTCTTGTAGCTAGGACTCGGCCTGTGACTTGTGTGTCCCTCTCACATCACAGTCAGAGTTCTAGCTCCACGGCGCGCGCGCTCGCCGCAGCCGACAGAAGACGCGCCGGCGAGCCCCGCCATACACATGCATGCTTTGTGTTCACATCATACCCGTACCTCATTCTCATCCCGGCTTCTCATACTAACTTCTTAACTGCCAGGGTGTTTTGGGAGATGATTTCTTTATGTTGAATATCGTCTTTTGATAGGAAGATTGTAAGAAAAATGATTACGAGTTTTAACGAATATAAAGTGACCCCATCCCCACCTACACTAATGTGTATACTTTTTCTGATTTGCCATAATGAAACACAGAAAATAATCTTACACCTAGAAATGACTCGACCTCCATCTCTACCGTTTTTCTAAGCTTTCCTCAATTTATGTACATTTAATGCCTATCTTTAAAACAGTAATATGTCTTGACATGATATTTTTTAGTGACAAAATATACTTACCATCTTTCGGTATTTCTACAGTTTTTCATAATCACTAAAATTAACTCTACTTTGCACTTGAAATTAATTCATATTTTCATTCAAAATCATTGCCTAACTTTCCTGTCACTCTTGAGATATCGTATGATCATTCACTCAGTTAATGTCATTCATTCGGTGCGAGCGTGGTGCGGGTGTGCCGTGTGCGGGGCGCGGGGCGGGGGCGGGTGCCGGGGCCGAGGCGGGGGCGGGGGCCGGGAGCGGGGTAGGGGCCGTGTCGCGAGCTGTCTCCCGTGCGGCTCCAGTGCGCGCATGTAGCACCATGGGATTCAGCTCACGGCCGGTCCCACTAACAGCCAACTCATCTACTAATACCACCGTAACAAGCCATCGACAACGTAACAACAATCTCATTCTAACAGCGTCTGCACTACTGACTTCTGTGTACTTGTTTTTCACCACAAAATCTCTTCTCTATATTGTATCTCAAACATAATTACTATCCTTATATGTTCTCATGTGTTTCTTAACAAAGTTTTGAGATATGATATTAAGACGATATTTTAATTTAATATGTATAGAAAATAATTTAAATGAATCACAATTCACTTGGTGATCGAGGTTTATGCTGTCATATGTTGCTTTTTGTGATGTAATATAAAGCTTTTTGCCTATAAAGTCGCTTGTCATTGAGCGCGTCTGTATACGTTTGTATAGAAAATAGTAAATTTTATGACAGAAATTACAATGGAAATAGCTCATAATTTTAATTGTTTATTTGATGTTTAACTCTTAATAATAATGTATATTTATGTAGGTAATTCGTAACATGTTCTTATAATGCGGATTTATTTTGTTATGACTTATATGTGATTTCACCGTTGTGTACTACTTTTGTTTTTTCATATATCTACTCATTTGTATGATGTGTGGTTTTTATGATATGATATTTAAATATTTTTAAGACAGTTTGATGTATTAAAGAGTTAGCAGTTTATTATTTAGTTTAAATTGACTTTGAGATTTAAAGTTTTAAGCATTCTATCCTTCAACTTGACAGATAATCTAGTGTAGCTGGGTCTGCATGAAATTTAAAATTAATCCAGTTATAAATATAGCATCTTTTCAGTAATAATAATTTAATAGTAGTAATATCAACATTTTTGTAGGTGGGCCCAGTAGTTGAGTTTTTACGTTATAAAAATAATGCAAACCTTTCTCTAATATTAGTATAGAATAAACAATTTAAAAATGTTAACACGTGAATGTACACTTGGTCCGCAGAGCCCCTGGAGCCGTTCCTGGCGCTGGAGCCGCCGATGTCGGGCACCGACTACGGCTTCTGCCTCGACCACGACGAGGGGCTCTCGGAACTCTTCGACTTCGAGTTCTAGTTCCAAACTCGCGGAACTGCTACAAGTTCCGCACTCAAGGAACTCATCGAGTTCTCCCTCGACGTACTCGGAACTGTTCGACTTTTACCGAACTCGAAACTCTGGTGTCGTCGGTAGTATGGTGCTGTGGACTGCTTGTAGATAAAAGGTGGGACCTAAGGATGTGACGTAATAGTACGGTGTTTGAAATGCGCAACCGACGTCGTGTCTCATGGCATATATCACTCGTCATTGTCCAGCCTTCGTTTACGCGACTGAGTAATGTTCCAGTTTGTTTGAATTTTATACGTGAATACTTTTTGTAGGCGATTTTGAATGATACTTTACAAAATAATATAACCGCGCGGAAATCTTACAAATGTGACATTTTTCTTTTTTACTTTATTTTAAAACTATTTTATTTCGATCCTAATTTGTCTTGATTATTATTTGTACTAACTGACAAGATATCTGATGCACGGTACAATAATGAAATAACTAGGTGGCAAAACAGATTGATCTGAAAATGGTATTTTATAGTATTTACAATATCATAGTTACATTAATAAATTGTCGCAATCGTACGGTAAATCAACGATGTTACGGCAGTTCAGAAATTAGTTTTTGACTAGTTTCATTGGCATTTTACACAATCTGATGAAGCCACAAATGTCATAGATGTGCTATTCCTAGAACATCTTTAAAAATTAATGATTATTATTAAAAAAAAATATATGAATAACTTGTGGAATATAAAAACAACGAAATGACCTGGAGAATTAGACAGATAACATATCTACAAAAATGGGCCTAGAATACTTTTTTAATTTTATTTTTCTTTCGTGTCGTCTCAATCGTTTATTCATTCTTGCAGTTATTTTTTTTTCATTTGTATCGCGCAAATACATTTTAAAACATTCTTAAGTTTAAATTATATATTAATAATTTAGTTAAAATAGCAATCATCAATAGAAGAAAACAAAACGTTTTGTATATTTATATAGGGAAATACATAAATAGATTTTTGTACGATTTTGTATGTTCAAACAATGGGAAATATGTAATAAATATTGTGTAATATTGTTTGACTATATGTTTGGGTGTAAATTTTGCAAGGATTCATAATTGTTTTTGTCAGTTTTATTCTTGAAATTTTGCATTTGGAAATTCCTTAATTACAAAAACTTATTTTACATAATGACTGGAAATCAAGTCCTTTTCCGTGACAATATTTTACTCCAAACGATAAATTAGGATTGTAAATATATAGTTATGTGTTATCTAGATTCCAAAAGCAAAGCTTTGGGTTTATATTTTCCTAGTACTGCCTCTTATCAGCCTTAATTTATCTTTTCGATACTACTACCCGTAATCTGAAAACAAGGGGTTTGCTCAGGAAAATTTGTAAAGTATAGAAATGTATAATTTTGTAAGAAAAACAAGATTCCTATGTAAGTAGTTAAAACACAAAAGAATCCGACATGTTCGGAATCCTGGCGCATTTCGAAGGGTAACTAATTGTTCATATATATTTTTGCATGAAGGGCTGACAGAAATTGACATAGCTGGGAAAGATTGTACTAGAAACTACAACAATCTACTAAGAATAGTACGAAGAGAAAGATCAATCGTTGTGAACACAAAGATGCATAACAACAATGCACTGACAAAGTTGTTGGATAATTTTAAAATATGTTATCGCAGAGGGAAGTTATGTTGAACGTATGTTAGTAAATTTAGGTTGGCTTTGTCAGTTTCTGTGTGCGCAGCGGCGCGGCGGAAGTGTACATACTACGATGTAATGAACGGTGATATCTTAGCGGCCTTCGATTTTACTTGTAAAGCCTAGCTCATAGTGTTCCCCGGTTTGCTGTCGGCTCCGTGGACGTGGCTGATCAGAACTTGCAACCTTACCTTATGTGTCGTATACATAATACAATTGTATATTCAGAAGGTAACAGCCGCGTACATGGTACCGATTTACTTATTCCTTTTGCCCAGATTAATTTCCAAGCGCATTGTGGCTTCGCTTCGTTGTTACTTTTTTTACAGTTGTATGTCAATTATTGTAAATATGTGTATTAAAACTACCAAATCCTTACAATTCATTGCAATAGTAATATTAAATTGACACGTATTTTTTCTTTCAAACGGTTTGGAGATCTCCTTTGAAGAATTTTATTTCTGTAACACGAAATGGCCACATTACGCTTGACTTGTAAATTAAATTGTTTGCCAAATGCCAAATATCATAGATCGATCGATATTGTGCGGGATGATCGATGTTTTATGTTAATTACACTACTGCGAGTAAACTATTATTTAATTATTTAAATGAAAATATTACGGTTATTGTTATTTGCTAGTGAACGATTGATGTCGGTTGTGGTCTCGATGTGATGTGTGATGCTTGCGACATCGATGTTTGTTAAACATGATCATCCCTTATTTGGTGTTAATGTAAGTTTTTAAGTTCGTTTTGACATTGTAAATAGCATGTATCGAGGCGGGGGACGAGGACGCAGCGTGGCGGCGACCCGGCGGCCTCTTTTTTTACAATATTTCCCGTAGATAACTCGTTGAAGTACAAAGTGCAAAGAGAAACCGTCTCGTAGTAGGTCTGTACCGTAATGTAAGTACATTACCGCGAGGCCGCCGCGCCCCCTCCCGCCCCCATCCCGCCCCTCACATTGTACAGCACAAATTTCATTGTAAAAAGAACATTATAAATAAGTGCATATCAAAATAAATTTAGTGATAATAATAATTTAAAAGCACGTGGGAGCAGTTTGATATACGGGTCAGGCGCGGGTGTGTTTAGGCGGAACCGGTTACAACATGCCCAATAATTTGTACATCTTTTTAAACACTGGACTATATTTATTGTTTGTTTTTATTTACTTGAGTTACGCATTTTAGTGTTTAATCAATTCACGAACATTTTCTGTTCGATTGTAAAGAGAAATAAACCCGTCAGACGCTCTACGAATATTAAAATCACTAAGTATTTTATCAACTTTGCAGTAATGCTAAAAGTATTTCCTATGAAATGAAATTTTGATACAATGAATTTTATGAGAAATTTTATTGAATATCAAAAGTGTTATTTTTTGCTTCTTAATTTTATGTTATTTTGATTTTGTTTTTGTAATGCAAACGGTAGGTAGAAATTTTGTTTGAGTTTACCTCTTGGGAACCACGTTTCGTGGTGTTAATAGAATTCTGTTCTTTTTTAGGTTTCATCACTATTATGAGTGTTACAGCGATTTCCTTCGTCATCTTGATGTTTGTACAATAATGTATATTTTTTTGGCGCATGCGCTTTTCAATAGAAAATGGTTAATTCTTAAATTGTATTGTTTAATAACACTTTGTCTGGGGCCAAAAGTACGAGAGAAGGGAGTACAAATTAAAGAAAAATTCTCGTAATTTAGTTTTAGGATATTTATTGTATTTCGATCAGATGCAATTTGTATTTTAGTTTGTTGTTTTCTTTCTATATTTTCCGTGAAATGTAATAACTTGCTACTCCTCATACTTGTGGTACATTATCAAGCCAATGTATATAAACCCTTGAAATTATTTGCAACTTTTTTGTATCTATTGTTGAATATAAGATATAAGTGTCCAAAGTAGTCATAAATACCACGGATTTCAGATAAATTAATACTATAACGCTTGTTTATATGACTACTTCGGGCTCTCTTACTACCAAACGGTGAGAATAAATATAGGCAATATATTTTGACACAGAAGCTGCAAGCTCAACTTATACAATACCTGATTGTTCGTTTTTACTAATGACAAATATACATGTAAATTGGATCCTACGGCGAATACTATGTAAAATGTTAAGACAAAGCCTCATATTGTTACGCTTATTCATAGCACGTAATTTTACTACCACAGTTCACTTCAACGGTGCTATTGCTGAAATTACCCTCTTCACAACAGTGTCAGCTGCAAGCGACAAGTCATTACAGCTAACGTTTTTGTGTGATTTTATCACTTTTAAGTAATTTCAGCAAAGATTTTCAGTACGATTGTAACTAATTACAAGTTTGAAGTGAGCTGCCAGAGCCGAGTTATGGTATAAATAAAATTTACAACGATTTTAGTCGGTGCAGAGATGCATCGCGCCGGCGTTCCACAGGGTCCTAATGTAGTGCACGGTACAGGCAATAATGTCCTAGTTGTTCGACTCGGGTTGTGTCGTTGCGGGTCTAATGCGGTTCGCTTTAGCACAAACTTTAAGTCGTCGTTTCGCCTCGCTTGAAGTCTGACGCGGGATATCTTCAATCGTTAATTATTTCATCGACTCATTCATATATGTACTTAGTTCTTTTTTTATAAAACCGTTTGCGTCCATTAATTCAATTCGCTAACAAAGCAGTTTAAAATATTTTTTGTTTCGGTTCTAAAATAAAACGCAGACTAATTGGATACGTAAATGAGAAATTTATAAGATGCTGTTTTCTATGTAATAAGTTTTCTGGTTTAGTTTAATGTGAATATAAAGTGAAGGTGCAATGTTATGATATAATGTATTTATGGTGTGAGTGATGGCGGCGGATGTTGCGCCAGTTGTTGTTGGCGCGGGAACTGTTCGGTTAGTATTGATTTGTGTTGGAAGACTGAGGTTGATTATTCCACATTCGATGAACGTGCGAGTTATTTGTTGATTGAATTTAAATATAAAGTCATATATATAGTTAGGTTATATTTTTTAATAAATATAATATTGAGATATGTAATATACTTTTGTCTTTCATTTCCCTACACTTGCATATTCTATGCATTGGATGCGTCTACAATGCTTTAACATCGAAGAATGCAGTAAAAAGCGAGTTGGTAAGAACTTTTTTTTATTTCAAAATGATTTTTTAAATAAAACTAATCATATAAAATATGGGACTAGTTTATTACATCAACTAATAATCTAAATTCTTTGTTTATTTTACACTTTAATTATTCGGTACTTTATAAATTTTATACACTTTCTACGACGCGTTTTGATATAGAATAAGATTTGTGAGGTTTGATTGCTATTAGCTAAGTACAAACTTTAGTCATGGTATCTGTGGTTTCAAATGGCTTCTGTTGTATCTAGGTTCAAAACAATGTCCTTATGGATCTGAACTTGACCCACACCAATAAATCTAATCTATTTTTAAAAGAATTATTTAACAATCTTAAAATTACTATGTACAAATGGCTATACAAAATCTATTAAATTTTAGTCAATGTGTATCAATTTTGTACGAAGGCATCAATAGGAAAGTTCCTGAAGGATTTGCTCCAGATGTCCGTGAAGGCGGTGCTAACCAGGTCGTTTATCAACGGCCTTATGACCGCGAAGCCAGGCTTCCAGGTCAGGTTTATCATGCGGTCGAGCATTTGTTCTGAAATTGTAGAATACATTGTCTATTTATACTTATCGTTTAAATAACTTCAAAGAAAATGCGAGTTATTTCTAAACTAGCTTTCCTCCGTAACTCCGTCTGCGTGCAAACAAAAAAATCCTCTACATCTATACCAAGTCTCATCAAAATTCGTTTAGCCGTTTAGGCTACAAACCCTAACATCCATCCATCCATTTAAACTTTCGCATTTATAATATTAGGTAAGATTTAGAAATGACTAGATAACGTTACCTAAAATGCTTCTGCCGCGGAGCAGGTTGCCGACGTGTATGTCCATGTCGCCGATATGATCGACCTCCACGTGAACGTCGACGCCGCTGCCGTCGCGCTTGATGCGAGTCGTCTGAGAGTAGTCACGCAATGTCAGGTTCCATCGCCCCGATCGCATCACCCCCAGACCAAAAGCATCACCCTAAAAAAAGAAAAATTAAATGCAATCTTACTTCGAAAATGTAATTTTGCTTACAATGTTATAAAATTTACAGTATTTTATTAGTTCGTGAGAACTTTAAAGGCTTTCCAATTAAAGCGATGAGCCTTTTTGCTGTCCTATTGTGTTAATTCAGTTCGTAGAGTTGTTTCTAGCTTTCAGATTTGGCTCGAAATTACGGCTTTTAAATATTTAAGTAAATCATAGGCTTGTCGAGAAATAAATTTCATGTAGAAGTTTACCTTGACATTGTTTCTGGTGGTCGTAACAGTAAGAGTATGGATCAACTTTCAACAGGTGGTAGTTGCAACATTTACCTACATAAGATTTTTCGTAGCTTGGTATTTTACGGATTGTGTAACTTTTTTAAGATAAGCATTATATTGGTTTATTTACTTTATTGATATTTATGGTACATAGTACGCCAGAGGCTTGGTTATCTACTTGGTACTGGATTATAAAATACCTATTTTCGCTACTCTACGGTGACATAATACCACGCAAACGTTGACTTGTGGTTTGCCTGTTAATAACAAGAGTTTCTTACTCTGTATCCGAGTTAGTTTTAGCAATTATTTTTGGATTTTTCTTTCGAAGATCATATTTTGAACTGTAGCTGAGTATCAGGTTTTTTTATTTCTGTATTTATTTAAAGGTACCATAATTTAATATTAACTTACTTGAAATTCGTAGTCTCCTTCCAACCATTTCTCAGGAAAATATTGTGAGTAAATGATACGTTCATTCACCCAGTCTGTTCTGAAACATAAGAAATTTAACAATACCTTACCTTTATATAGAAACATAATTACAGGATTCTGATATAGATTTCCTTTATACCAAATAATTTTGTCATAGTTAAATAGATATTAACTTGTATTTAGTGACTGTGGACTGGGACCATCCTCTCTCGTAGACGTTGCGTAGCGTGAGTTTGTACCCGAGGCCGCCAACGGAGCGCGTCTGGAGCACCTCTTCTGCAAAATGCGGATCAAACGGCGCCACGCCCATCGACGGTATACCTATAAAAAGGTTGATTAAGGAAAACAAAACATTAATGAACATTTAAGAATGTCTCGGTATATTTTAATCTGGTCCGTGGTAGGTTTTCTCGTATTTACGAAGGTGTGTATAAGATGTCAGTGCGTCTTATAGTCATAGGATTTCCTACCTCGTTTGAAGTACGGCTTTAGTTTGTTGAATGCCCTCTTTATGCATTGATCGAAATCCGGCGATGATTTTTGGCACGGTGAAAATATTCTTTCTGAAAAATAAATTTGTTTAAATCTATCCCTGGTTTTGGTACGTCTGTATCTTTTATTGGGAGGGAAATATGATGGTAAAAATAATAATGGCTCGTAACAAATATATACAATGTGCAAAAACATACTTAGAAACAACAATCAGTAAACACATAAAAATACATTGTAATGTATTGCTTGAAAACAGCGAAAACTAAATCCATCTTGCACGGTCATAATTGTCGTATTCATAAACAGAAATATAAAATTTAAATAAAATCGATGAAATACTTAATGAATTATAATGACTGGTTATCTAGAATTCATATTGATGTCATGGTGTAACAAAGTTATTGCCATAGCTTGATCAACTGTACCATTGCTTAACATGCTAGTTTTTCCACGTAGTTACAACAATCTATACTATTATAATAAAGCGTAAACACACACTTTTTTGTTGCCTAAGATGTCAGCAATTACATCATATTTTTGAATAATTCTTTTTTTAATAAAAAGCCCTACACTTACGACAAGCTTTAGGCTATATATTTTCACACCATTAAACTTAGGGGGTAAATATTTTGGATAAAAACCGTAATGTGGGAAAGAGACCATAAGTTGCTGCCAACATCAAGGAAGCAAGATTGCCAAGATTTGTAATATCATGTCATTTTGACATTTGCTATTGATAATTTGACAAATGTGAACAATAAAATAAAATTTTCATAATTTCATGCGGATAAAGCCGCACGGGAACAGCTAGTATGTAATACTTCGCATTTTTGTATTTGATACTATCGAATGCTAACTTTTAATTTATTTAGATGTCTATTTCCTTTACAGGATTCTGATAGTAGTTCTATAATATAAAATTTTAAATTCAGCTATGCTTATAATGTATTGAATTATAGAAATTTATGTTGGAAATATAACATCGTAAATATTCTAAACAAAGTTTTCCAATACGAGTAGATCGTGCTGAAATCCCGGCACGATTCTTTGAAATGTTTTATTAATGCAATATGCAAATTATTAATCACAGTATTATTATATTAAGAACAAACTGTTGCTCGCAACTTTATCCGCGTGGAATAATAATATGATAAAACGGATTACTCCCAACCGTCACCCTGTTCTGTCCCCACGTGGAGACAGGTGAGAATAAAAAGTTTAATCCGTCCCACCTTTTGGGACGAGGGGACTTGCTTTAATTCATAACGGTTCCATCTGTCACCTTATTGGTGATTGGGTGACTATAAGGTGGGACGGATGAAACTTTTTATGCTCACGGGGACAGAGCGAGGTGACTGTAGCGAATAATCCGATAAAACTCAGCTTTTTAATGGTGAAAGAATTTTTAAAATCGGTCCAGTAGTTTTTGAGGTATTTCAATTCATACAAAAATACAAATCTCTCCTCTTTATAATATTGGAATAGATCTAGGTCTAATATGTCATAATGAAAAAATAAACATACGATTTGAGAACATAAGGAACAGAAGTATCGAATACTATGGTCAATCTAGTCAATAAAGAGATTGCGAAACACTTGTGCTACATTATGACACAGGTCAATGTTATAATTATAACGAATTTAGCTTTATGAATGCTGCGCTTTGCATAGAGATTGTTAATGTTCGTTACCAAAATATAGTTAAGTAACAATGCTTAAGTAATCGCTACAAATGTTCACATAAATTAAACGCTGAATGGTGCAATAAAAATTCAAGAGTTCAAATTGTAATTGAGAGCAGATATATTTTAGTTTTAAAAACATCCTCAGCATCTCTTACTGTGACACTGGTCGTGTGTTTCCACTGGCGAAACACCTATACAAAAATAAATTTTTATTACTATATTATTGTTTTTCAGAGAACAAGATTTGACAGGAAAGAAACCGAGACAGGCCCTTTAGTTCATATAATTTGTTGACCAGATAATATCAGCTTATAATAAACCGGTGTGACTGTTGATACGAAAAATTGTCAATTATTTGTGAACTAGCTTTCGCCCGTGACTACGTGCGCGTGGGTTAAAAAAAAGCGAGTAGTAGTAGCCTCTGTTCTTCCAGGATAATCTATATTTATACCAAATTTCATCGAAATCTGTTCAGCCGTTAAGGCTACAAACTCTAACAAACATAATGCATCCTAAACTTTCGTATTTATAATATCAGTATGTTTGTATATGTACATTACTGATTGCATTTTAAACTACTACGTACATGTTCAAGTATATTCTAATTATAGTATAAATAAAGGCTTACGTATGTCCTCCATTTCTCCAGCTGTCCTTGTCCTTTGTATGTTCAAAATAATAACACAAACACATGTTAATATTTTAATTTTCAGCATATTTATTACTTTTACACGTGAATCTGTTTAATTATTTGTTAATACGGGAAATGTGTAATTCTATTATTTTATTGTTGTTTTAAAATTAAAAAGCTGTTGGTCATATGACGTTATTTAAGAATAATAAAGTTGCGAATGTGAACGCTGTTGAATGGACACTTCGATCTGAGATCGTTTTGTTAGTCAACATCGCGGGCATGCGAAACTTCCCCTACCATGGATTTGCGAAGTGGTTGCGACAGACCGACTGCCTTACCAAATCTCTTGACACCGACATTTAATTCGAGTTTGTTGTTAGGTGTGCGGGATTTCATAACGAGATGTGTATATCGAATTGGGATGACTTTTAGTTTTTAATGCAACATTCTGTGTTAACTATAATGGATAGGGTTCGATGTCAAGAGATTTTATCGTGTTTTTCATCGCTATGTATGGAAACTTCAATCCAATGAAAATTATTTCGGCGACCTTACAAGTTTAACGAAATGCAAACAATGTCTAATATAATCAATTAATTATTTAAACAAATTCTTTTGATGTTAAATGCACTTATTTGGTTTTTTTTTACAGACTAATAATCTTCATTTGCGAAAACTAACATGTCTAGTTTTCCTGTATAATAAAAAAATAAAAATAAAAAATAAAATGAAATTGAAAAGAAAACTTTTATGTTATTAAAAAAAACGTAATTCGTTTTAGGTACTCAGTTACATTTTAACAAATATTTTATTGTTGGTTTTATTCCATTTACGCTTGTAATATATTGGTCTTTGTAATTATTTCATAACAGAGTGAATAAACAGGTACAAGAAGAGACTGTTACAGCGCAACTAGTGACATAAGACGTCATAACAAATGTGCATCGGGAACAAGTTTACTGCACGTAACCGAGTATCCATTTAAAAAAAACATATCGCTGTCCTTGTTTTTACGAAGAGAATGAGTAGGATGTCTAGTTGGATAGCAAGTAACGCAAGATAAACATTTAAATGTTAAATTACTTTGTGGATTTTAGGTCTACATTTACAAAAAGTTTTAAGCCTCGAAAACTAGTTGTGGACTTTGTTTTTAAAGTAAATTATACTAATTTTCATATCGAAGTTTCGAGAAGTGACTAATTGTTTGGACTTTTGGATTTCAATGCCATAATATCTGTGAAGGGAGTTTCATAGCTTTGTTATGGTCCGTGTGAACTTTTATAATTGCATAGTATTTTACTTTCAAGTACTTTAAATTGTTGCACAAATGTTTATTGTTACCTCTAAAACAAAAGGACCTACAAACTATTTAGAAGTTATTCTTATCACCTAGTAATTAGTGTCAGTATTGTCGAGAAATTTCTTTGCACATGGTTTTTGAAGTTTACTATCCTCATTTTATCTGTTTCACCGTTTTTCACCATTAGATTACAGGCGCCTAAAAAGTTTCATTAGCAATACTACTTATTAGGAAAAAAAATGGACGGCTCAACTAGACCAATTAAAAAAGAACTCGTTGCGGACATTTACTTTTAAAACACTACAGAAAATTATGTGAGTTAGGGGAGAATAAAGGCTTTTCAAGATTAAGATGTAAAAATTGCAGTTTGTTCGAAATGCGGAGCACTATATGATTATATAGACAGAGACTGGCTGCTAGCTATTAATGTTGCAAAAGAACTAAATCGTATCAGACAACAAAAAACGAGACATCTCTGCGAAATTAATTAAGACTAGATTTATAATTTCATTCTTCATTTTTGTGGCAATAATTGCCTAAGGTTAATTGGCAGAGATTATTTTAAAAACTATACACATAAAATACAATCTTTATATGAAACTGATTAACTCGAAGTAGAAAACGTCAATGAAATAATAAACACATTTTAAAATTAATGATTTATTTATATTATCGGCACAAAACCGTTACATATAAATCGCCTAAAACCAAATTTAGTAACTTATGTATTTAATCGGGCTTATAAATAAATAACTTACAAGTAACCACAACTTGTCTATAAAATAAGCTTATATTGAAATATATTTGTACACTGGGACAAAGCGAAATAAGTCTTATTGCATTAATAAGCAGTATATTAATTATTTAAGGATTTCTTAATCTATACCAGAAATAGCAGAGAAATCCGAGTTTAGAAAAATACGATTTCACTTCACTCTATCCCATAATTTCAATAAAATAACATTTTCCATGATAATATGAAATAGTGTGATGGGAACCATATATGAATTGTGACGTTTTATTTTTACAAATCACGTAAAAGCGTTATTTGGAATGGAATGTTAGTACAATTTAGTCTTTGACCCAGTCGTCGTAAGGGATCTGATCGAGGATGCGCTCGAGGAAGTGCGACATCTTGGCCGCCAGATCGCGCCTCAGTTCTGGCTTCATCTCCTTCAGCAACTCTTGCGCGTTCGTATTGATGAACAGGTTCAATGCTGCTTCTGTTTATGTAAAAAAAATATCACTAATATTATAAATGCGAAAGTTCAGATGGATGAATGGATGTTTGTTAGAGTTTGTAGCCTAAAGTGTTGAAGGAATCTTCATGAAATTTGGCATAAATGTAGAGGATACGATGGAAGAACACATAGGATACTTGCTTTTTTTATTCCGCGTGGACGGAGTCGCGTGCGAAAGCAAGTAAATTATAAAGCGTTAATTAGGGTAATTCCCGTTGGGCCGATTGGCGATTTTTTCCCCATTCTCCGATTCTGGTTGAAACAATTCAAAAAGTTGTCTAAACATGGTTCGAATTTTAATACTTTCTCTTTGTCTTAAAATACTTAAATTAAGATATATTTTAGGAAAAAATTCAAAAAGGGATAAGAACTTAAAAGTATTTTAATAAATTTCCGTCGGCTAAGATAAAAAGAAATTAAAAACGTAAAAAACAAATAAGAACAATAACATGGTATGGACTTACGTAGGACAGCGTTACTATTCTGTAAATTCTCGACGCCCATCTGTATGTCCCTGACGGAGAAGTCCAGTTTGAGTTGCTGCAGTTTGAGGTAAGTGCGCTTGTTGCGGGTGTACGGTGTGCCGCGGAAGTACACCTTCGCCTTAACACCGTCTGCAAAAAAACAAAATAACTCTATAAAGATATTTTATTAGACATTTGAAACATTACTATAATTTGTCTTACGTTGAGCTTCTTTTGTTTACGAAATAATTTCGCTTTTGCAACAAAATTAAGTTTTAAGAATGCAATGAGATTAGCGCCATCTATATTGTAAATCACTAAAAGTGCACTTTAAGTGCAAGTAACGTTTTTGTTATAATTCGTGAAATGTGCTGTAAAATTATAGTCACATGAATGAATAAAAATCTTCTCATGAAAATAAGGTCGTTTAAAATTACAAGGAAGTTTGGAAATTAGTCATTATTTACCTGCAATATTTAATTAAGAACACACAATGTCATCGGTACCAAGAATTTTTATCACCAGTTTAAGATTTCCGTGCAAAATATTTATTTTGATGACACCTTGGTCACATTACTAAGCGCACATACACTGTCAATACAGTACGTATACATTTCGTGTTAAAATAACCTTTAAAAGTTTATTTAATACGTAAGCAACTTCCATACATAAAAATGTTAAAAGTGATTGATTTAAATACAACAAAAGGTACAAATAAGAAAAACCATTGTTATTAAAATAAAGGAGCTGTTTAACCACAACTATTTTAAGCATTACGTACCGTATTCACCCCAGTAGTCACCTCCTCCTGAAGCACGCACCAGTAACAACACCCCGGAGGAGCGGTAGCGGGCACGCGCGCTGATATGCGGCCCGTACAGCGTTAGCTGGAATTGATGTGTATCTAGGTCCGACCTAGAAACAAAGATTCAAATGTACAATGAAAACTGAAGAAATCACCTAAATCAGAGGGTGTCGATGGGAACATATATTATGTTGACAAATAATAATCTTAGGATAGAAGCGAGCCTATCATTTCCTCAAGGGCCGGCAACGTCTCTGTAGTTCCTCTGGTGTTGCGGATGGCGTCGTTGGCCACCTTGGTGTTCACGTAGCTTGTTCGCCCCTTTTATTAAAAAAAATACTGAATTATTACTGTTGACATCGTATGAACACTATTATGAACAGTATTATTCTTTAAAGATTACTCTTGTAGAGGTAGAAACCTAAAATGAATCCTGCTTTCACCATTTGGAAACACTACAGCACACTGTGTTCTGCAGGGTACCTGCTTTCATTTTCAACTTACATAAATTTATTTAAGATTGATATGGGTTGAATAAAAGTCTAGACATTATGATTAAATAGAAAGTGTATAATTTTAAATTATAAATTGAATAAAACGTTCAATGATGTATGTTATGTTGCATGCAAGTAAATTGAATTGTTTAGTTACTGTCAACTATGATTAAAACTATCTGATAACTAGGCGTTTGCATTTGTAATTTCCGACTCTAAGGTAATTGGTTTTATCATTGACATACATTTTGTAGTTAGGTGTTAACATGAGATATGATTTTACCACGAATAAGTTAAATTCAACTAATACTCGTTACACAACAAAAGTAAATGCAATTACACGAATGGGTAAATAAATTAATAGTTAAAAGATGTTTATGTGTAATTAATGTGTTGTTTATTACATGTTTTCTTTGTCCAGCATAAATATTATGTCTCTGCCAACAAATATGAGTTACAGCTTTGTCCGTTTAGCCATGTACCGTGAAAGGATGATTCGTTTGGACATTCGACCCGTGACTCGTCGGCTACGTGTGTAGAATATATTAACTTAAGAAAGAAAACCATAGATTCCAAATGATCCAGTCATGTTTATTGTTATTTTTATAAAGAGATTTTTTCGATTGTATTGTTTAGAATTCTTTCGATTTACGGTAAAATTCCTACCTTAGTTTGTAATTAAATTCTTTGATGATTTTTCTCACCATTCACAAATTATGTTCTGCTGTTTTTAATTCTGTTGTTTGCAATTATAAAATATTTCTCACCTAAATTCACTTTGGCAAGTTCTCGGTAATATATGAACGACCTTAGTACTGTCATCAATATAGTTAAGATAGAAATATTACAAAAAATAAGGCCTTTTTGTTACATCTATATTGTATTTTTTGATTAAATTAGCAAGTATATTGCATACAAAAATACAATATACATAGATAAATAGAAGAACTCAGTAACCTATAAGTAAATTAATTTATTTGCAGCTGCAACAGATGTTTTCCGGAAAGTCGTCGGCTAGCAGATAATAGCGAATCGATGCATTGTTACGACATTCCACGCGTTACATAGAAATTATTTGATAGCAACAATAGTGTTTTGATTCCAGCAGTAAACAAGCCTTCAGAGTACCAAACTTAATGATGCAACGAACCAAGACGATTTTACATGAAGCACTTATAATAATATTTTGAATTATGTGACTATTCTAGTAATAACAATATTCAAATTGTAGAATGCTTCACACTTTGTAATAGTTTTCGTATAGATCTTTAGGAAGTGTAAATGCTTGATATAATGTACGTAATGTTTTTAATTTCTATGTAAATTGAACTATTGTTACCTGACGTTGGTAATGGTCATGTTGTTGACGCCACTGGCATGGATGTCTTTGAATGTGGCGCGGTAGCCGTCCGGCCCTCCGCCCAGTGCGATAGACAGCTCATCTATCAATATGCTATCCGACTGCAAAGGACCAATTCATTGTTACATTTTGTTCACGTTTAATTTAAAGATAAACAGAAACAAAAGAGAGTTAAAGCAGCTTTGGTTGTTAAAATTCCTTGGTAAATTTTGCTTGTCAATTTGTAGTAGATAATGTACTGATTGATGCATAAGACGTACCTCTTCAATGCCGAGTTCGGGAGCTCCGCCTTTGAGATAGTCCACTAGAGAGTTGAAGCTGCGCAGGAGACATTCGTCGACTTCTGGGTCCTGCCGGGAGCAGCGCTCGCCGAACATACCTGAGGGAATACATAGTGAGTAACCTTCGTAATTACATTTGTGCAAAACATCGATTTTTTTTTTAATTTTTCGGTGATATTTAATAACAAACATCCATCCATATGAATTTCCGAGTTATTTTTCATTATTTTGCGTATTTGATATTTCGGTTATGCAACTGATATTAATAAAAAAATGCAACTAATCGATTTGAAAGCTAAAGTTAACGGTAATGTAAGTAAAATGATGAATCATACTGAAGAAATAGAAATTGACACTTTCTCTGGTCAGACTGTTGTCCGTTAAATCAAATGTGAACATTTTATTGACACTGAGTGATTTTACAGACATTTTATTACAGCAAATATACAATTAAATTTGCTAAGGAATATAGTAATCATATTTGTACAATTGACTATGGCCTAGTCACCCTAACTTTAGGGTAGGCTCCGAGCCCCTCGGTGGAGACGTATAGTGAGCTGGTGATGAATGAATGAATGAATTTGTACAATTCTTTAACGCTTTAAACCAGAATACTTTAATCGATAGGAAAAAATGACGGTAATAACATATTCTATACTGTAATATAAAGAGGAAATATTTGTATTTTATTATATATTAAAATAATTCAAAAAATACTGGGCTGATTGCAAAAAATCTTTCACTATTAAAAGGGTATATTATCTGTGAGTAACATTGGCTATATTTTTTATTATTATTTAATATCACGCGGGCGAAGTCGTGGGCACAGCTAGTATAATTTAGAACGCAATAAAATAATAAGGAAGGTCATCGTAACACATTGATTGGATCTAATATTCGGTCAGCTGACAGCTTTCATTGACACTCATCAGACATTAGTATGCGGGGGGCCTACGACTAACGGTAGATACGTGGTGAAGTCGCGGTGATTACTTAGAAACAATAAGAGATCTACTGATAGGCTGACAATGAGTATGGAACTGCACATGTCGATTGGCTGGGAATTATTTCCTGTAATAAACAATAAGTGATTAAGAATCTAAGGGCCGCTAATGTACTCTATGTCTTCGGTATTGGCCTATTTAATGTCACGCTGTTGGCCGTGTATCGTCCGCCCGGAATCAAAAAGAACTTAGTATATTACCTATGTGATCTTCCAGATTATTTCGTACATCTGTGACATAATTCATCGTGATCCATCAAGCCGTAATGGAGATGCCTAATAACAAAGATCCATCCATCCAAACTTTCCCATTTACAATAACATTATTATGTTTATGTTTGTTATCAAGTGATAGTGTTTTAAAGGTTTTAAGTGAGTTTATTTAAGACATTAAAAAAACTTTATTTAATTTGAACCTAAAGTTATATCTACAAACATTTTAATCTTATTTATTATTTTACTAAACTATGTCTTGAATTCTTGGATTCCAATTAATTATCCCGTTAAATACACAGCGTTTTTTAAAAAAGTATAAAAGGCCGAGGTCATTGACCACGCAGGAGCCTCGTCCGCGAAACTCCAAGCTATCAGATACCGTTCACCGCTAACGAAGGAACAACTCAAGCCGGTACAAAAAGCTTTGCAATTATCTTTAATTACATGAGTTAACGATCTATACGAGACATTTGAATGTAATCATGCATTTAGAAGACAAGCTGAATACGCGTATGTGATCAAATGTTAATACAACTGTTTGAATTACATCATTTTTCTAAATGTTTGTTTTATTTTTCTAAAAAACCTTTCGAAGCTTGTGCTCATTAGCAGAGTAATGCGCTAACCGGAAATAATAATCACATTTAAGAAAGTCTTTTTCATATCTTTAATGCCTATCTAAAAAAACTTTCAAAGTGCTAAATGTTTTAAGAACATTTATAACTACAGATCCATAACGGAAGAGA